CCGCCGACAGAAAGCCGCAGAAGTCGATTTTGCCGCCGTCCTCACAACGGGGTAAGTCGGCTGCGATACGCCGAATTCAGCTACGCTATTCACGTAGCTGAATTTGCGTATCTTAAATCGACTCCCCCCTGTAGTGTAGATGTACCCTAATATAGCTAAACATGTATGACTTGCACTTGAAAAATATATATGTGAAAGCATATAAATGAAATTATTTAAAATAGAAGTGAAGAGCAGTTTTGTCCTAGGCTGCTAAATTTTGGTGAGGGAAGCTAACATTTCAATAGTGGTCATTGCATATCTCTAGTTTTGGGAATAATTTTATATTAATTGAACATTTATTTCGCTTTTATATTGCAGCAGTTCCTAGCTAGCTGAGATTGGGGTGCCATTCTGTTTAGGTCAGGTTTCGGCAACCTTCAGCATGCAGCCCATCTGGGTAATCCGCTGACGGGACGCAAGACATTTTGTTAACATTGACCGTCCGCAGGCATGACTGCCCGCAGCTCCCAGTGGCCATGGTTCGCCGTTTCTGGCCAATGGGAGTGGTGGGAAGTGGCAGCCAGCATGTTCCTGTGGTTTGTGCCTCTTCCCGCTGCTCCCATTGGCTGGGAACGGCAAACTGTGGGCACTGGGAGCTGCAGGCAGCCATGCCTGCAGACGGTCAACGTAAACAAAATGTCTCGCGTCCTGCCAGCGGATTACCCTGCTGGGCCATGTGCCGAAGGTTGCCGACCCCTGTGCTGTAAGACAGTCCCTGATTTGAAGAGTTTACAATGTAAAAAGATAAGGTGGACAAAGACTGAGGGGGAGGAACAGAGGCACCAAGTTCATATAGCAAGTCAGAGCAAAGCTGGGAAAGGAACCTAGATTTCCTGAGTCTCAATCCAATGTCCCATTCACTGGAGTATATTACCTTCTCATGCAAGTGATCTGCTTAAATCAATATCTGCATACTTTAATTCTACCAAGGAAATGTGAGGGCACTACTTAGAACTAAAATAGAACAAGGTTTCATAGGTGAAAAAAACTTGCCCCAAACATTTGGGGGGGGAGGGATAGCTCAGTGGTTTGAGCATTGGCCTGCTAAACCCAGGATTGTGAGTTCAATCCTTGAGGGGGCCACTTGGGGATCTGGGGCAAAATCAGTACTTGGTCCTGCTAGTGAAGGCAGGGGGCTGGACTCAATGACCTTTCAAGGTCCCTTCCAGTTCTAGGAGATGGGATATCTCCATTAATTTCAATTTCAAACACAAGCTGCTACTTACCTGTCAACAGAAGTGAAGCTACCCTTCCAAAATGACCAGCATGTTAAATAGTGACAGATACTAACTCACATTCCAACAAGTATGTATGTTGTCAAAGTAAAACACTTCAGCCTTTATCTCAGTCACCAGACCTAAATATTTAAAAAAATGTTTTTATCATAAAACACAAACAAAGCATCCTACATATCTATATGTTGGACATGTAGGATCAAATTTTCAATAAATCCCACACCCGACCTCCAGTTCTGTGCAGATACTTGAGCTTTGAGCTTATGCTCAGAAGTGATGAACTCTATCACTTGCATGGATAGGAGACAGCTTTCTGAACTGTAAATGTGATGGTTCTCAAAAATGAGAATGCAAATTACAAATCATAAACAATTTGTATGTGTGGTGTGCATGCATATCAATGGAGGTCAGGTTTTGAAAATTTGGACCATATGTCAAATACATAGACATTTTTTATGTTTAATTCCTCATTCTTTCCAAGCAAAGTATTAAATATCACAACCTACGTGATAAACCAAAATCACTGACCTTGATTTTCAAAAGTGCTAAGCACCCACCAGATCCCGACTGGAGATTAGGGCACTTCTGAAAATCCTAGGAGAGGGAAGAATGAGCTATGGGTGCTTTTAGGCACTGTCCAATGTTAATTGTAAAAACATACTATATTCACATCTTTTTTCCCTCTTCCAAAAGAGGATTCAATCAAATCCACTTAAGGCTTTTAGGTTTCCTTATACTCTTATACATGGAAATATGCTGGGTGTAACAGGTTTCTAACAGATCATCAAAGCTGGTTACAGCAGCACACATGATTAAACACAGCAGATATTTTCCTTTAAAAGTCATATCAAGCTAGTTTGCCTATGCACTTCTACCAACTGTTTGTGCATGCTTGGAAAATCTAGGCAGCTATCTCATCTAGCCTTAGCAAATGGGTGTTGGCTCAGTGAACAGTGTTTTTTTGTTTTTGTTTTTTTTTCCCCCTGGCCACGAAGGATTCTGGCCACCAATGATTCTGGGATGTTTTACATTGATTCTCAAGTCCATCAGCTGTGCTGTACATTGTTGACACTTTTAACATGACAATTCATTGTTGTTTTTATACTTGATCACTTAGAAGGTGAGCAATCCAGAAATGCTAGAAAATAGGACAATCTGAGGTGGTATATAAAAAAAGGATGGGTCTCCATGTGCAGGGCTTTGTGTTTGATCTATGCATATGCAAGACTCTGGACCAAAATCCAGTTCTACCTACTAGTGGAATATTATTGTGGCAGTAGCAACGACCAGCTTTTGAATGGCCAGTCCCATTTTAAACTTCAGACAGAGGAAGATAGCCCAAACATTAACAGCACAGGACCACTCATTTGGGAGTATCAGTTCAAGAACAATCATGGCTTTTGTTCTAACATGGAATACCACTTTGTGGCTCCTACATTTAGCATTTCAAAGTCCAGGCTAGAACATAAGTACAGTTTGTCTAGTGGTACTGAAAATCATACCACATGTTCTGATCATGGGCGCCAACTCTGTGAGTGCTCCGGACCTGGAGCACCCAGGGGGGAAAAATGGTGGGTGCTGAGCACCCACCGACAGCCCCTCCTATCAACTCCCGCTGGGCCCTAGCACCTCCTGCCTGCTGGCGGGCCTGGCTGATCAGCACTTCCCCCTTCCTCCCAGTGCCGTCCGCCTTCCACAATCAGCTGTTTCGTGGCATGCAGGAGGCTCTGGGGCATAAGGGGGAAGGAGTGAGGGCAGGCACACTCGGGGGAGGGGGCAGAATGACCGAACAAGAAGCAATGATCTCAAGTTGCAGTGGGGGAGGTCTAGGTTGGATATTAGGAAACACTATTTCACTAGGAGGGTGGTGAAGCACTGGAATGGGTTACCTAGGGAGGTGGTGGAATCTCCATCCTTAGAGGTTTTCAAGGCCCGGCTTGACAAAACCGTGGGTGCAATGATTTAGTTGGTGTTGGTCCTGCTCTGAGCAGGAGATTGGACTAGATCATCTCCTGAGGTCTCTTCCATCCCTAATATTCTATGAATGGGGCGGGAAGATATGGGGCGGGGGTGGAGCAGGGGCGGGAAGAGGCAGGGCGGGTGGGGGGAATAGGTGGGTGAGGGTAGGGCTTTGGGGGATGGGGTGGAGTGGGGGCAGGGCCTGGGGCAGAGCCGGGGATCGAGCACCCCCCGGCACATTGGAAAGTCGATGTCTGTGGTTGTCATTACCATAGGATAACCTTCCTCAGCTTTCCCTATCACCCAACCACCTTCTTGATCCTCTCCTTCATTGGCAGGTGGTCTTGCAGCTATGTCTCCCAGCTTTCTGAAGTACTTTCTGACAGCTAAACATGCCTAGCTCATTTAACTTTCCTTCATAAACAGATCCCTCCAGCTACATAACAATTTGTTGCTGTTCTCTGGATATTCTCCAGGTGGTCTGTTTTTCTGGTTGTAAGTTGCCCAGAGCTAAATTCAGTATTCCACTTTCAGTGGCACAAGAGCTGTATTAAGATGAGCCATTACTTCCTTGCTCTGTGACATCACTCTGAATACCCAGCCTAAAGCTTCACTGACTTTTTTGCTGCCATATTGGATTCCAAATTCATATCTAATTTCTCAAAATTCTTATCTCTAAATCTCTTTTGGCATTATTGCTCTCCAGATTTCTACCTCTCTCTAAATATTTTTCAGTTTTTTTACCCAGATATCATTTTGCGATTTTCCTAGCTGAATCTCATTGTTACATTCTGCCCATGTTTCTAATCTAACTCTGCCCCTTTGTATTTTCTCCATCTTCAGTAATGTGCTCAGCTCCTCCCATTTTAATATATCTGCAGATTTCATTAATGTACTATTTACTCCCTCTTCTAGCTCATTATTGAAGCTATTAACCAGGATTAGAAGTAATTCCAATCTGCATACTGCACTGAACAACTCCCCTCAAAGTTATTGTTTATTATTACTCTTCACTGCAGTCAACATGACTTATCTTCAAACCAATTTGAATTAAGTTTTGAGAACAGGATTTTCAAACACTATTGTGATGCTGACAGGCCAGATGTCAGCTCTTGCCCAGGCTGCAGACATTAGCTAAGAACTAACAAACTCATAGCTGAAGACCAAACCAGTTCACCCGTATTTTAATTTTGCTTAAAGTAGGTAGAAGTCTTATAAGAATGTATTTAGTGCTTAGACTCTAGGAAGTGCTTGTAAGTTGCTGCATACATTAATTTCACTTTGTATGTCGGTATTCCATGTTATAAGAAAATATGTAAATTTTGCTTTATAACTTTGAAAATGTTTGCTCCGAACTTGTGACCCCAGGCACTGGAATCATTCCCCCTGCCCATTCACAAGGATTATCAAAATCAAAAGAGGCCATCAAGGAACATTGAAATACAAAGGATTCGTTAATGGCCCTATTGCACCTTGGAAATGTTACATTCAAGGAAGCTCATTCTATGAACTTGAAACTTAATGAAGGAAATAAAACAAAGACACAGGAAAAATTTCCATCTCTCTTTGCTGTTTTGAACTCTGATAGGACTAGAGACTCTAAACTGAGTCAGAGATCCCCAGGAGTTAAGCCTGGGTCTGCCCTGAACTTTGAACTGACGGATCATTACAACTCTGTCACTCTTAGGATTAGGTAATAACTCATTTGTGTGTATATGTTTGCTTGCTTTAACCTGTAAATAACTCTCTATTTCTTTTTACTAGTTAATACATCTTTCAATCGTTTATTACTGAATTGGCTACAGACGTTGTCTTTGGTGTAAGATAAAGGGTAATTGATCTGGGGTAAGTGACTGGTGTCTTGGGACTGGAAACAACCTGAATCTTGTGTGATTTTAGGTGTAAGTGACCATTTATCACTATGTCCAGTTTGTCTGGGTAGCAAGATAGACTGGAGAGCCTAAAGGGACTGTCTGAGACTCCATGGTAAAACAGGTATAATGATCCAGGAGTGCACATCTGTTACTAGTTTGGTGATTCACAGATTCTAGGACTGGAAGGGACCTCGAGAGGTCATCGAGTCCAGTCCTCTGCCCGCATGCCAGGACCAAATACTGTCTAGACCATCCCTGATAGACATTTATCTAACCTACTCTTAAATATCTCCAGAGATGGAGATTCCACAACCTCCCAAGGCAATTTATTCCAGTGTTTAACCACCCTGAT